GATAGTGGCAAGGTTGAGATATATGCCATTAATTTCTGTTATAATTATAAAAGATGAACCACATCCTTAACAGCCCCCACATGGCCTATCCTAGACCTTCGTGAATGAGGTAAATCACAAATTATGTCTTCAAGGGTACAGAGTGGAGGACTGCTTGTACATTTGCACTTACCCAGTAGCCAAATTCATATTTCAGGATTTGAACCCTTGACGTAGCAACCTCAATCAAAGTTGGAGTTTTTTCTCCTTCCCCTTTTACCACTTGGAGATGTGCCCTACAAGGACAAAATTGTTGTTTCTTAATAGTCGAATGATCAAATTATTGTTTCGTAATAGGGTGTATGACCAAATTCATATTTCCTAATAAGTAGAGTTGCACCTTAATAGTTCAGAGACATGATTCGGAATTTCGTCATTCAACTATTTGGAAAGTGGATTTTGCTCATCCAACTATAGTTTGACATCAATTTTATCCTTCAACTAATAGGAAAATACTATATTGGTCATCTAACTACTGTTTAACATCAATTTTATCCTTCAACGATCAAGCAATAGTAAATTTTATCCTTTAACTATTAGGAAAATCAAATTTGGTCATCCAACGGTTTAACATACATTTCATCCTTCAATTATTTGAAAAGTTGAATTTGGTCATCCAACTATTCTTTAAAACAAATTACATCCTTCGACTAATCGAAAAGATGAATTTGGTCATCCAACTATACTTTAAAACAAATTTCATCCTTCGACTATTCAGAAAGTGGAATTAGGTCATCCAACTAAAATGAATATCAATTCCATCTTTCAACTATTGGAGAGTCGAACTTGGTCATCAAACTATATTTTAACATTAATTTCATCCTTAAGCTATTAGGAAATACTAAATCGGTCATCCAATTATGGTAAAAACCAATTACAGCCTTCATTTATTTGGAGAGTCGAATTTGGTCATCCAACCACTGGTTATCAATACTATCATCCTTCAACTGCTCGAAAATATTAAATTGATCATCCAATTATGGTTTAAACCCAATTTAATCCACTATTACGATAATCGAATTTGATCATCCAACTATAATTTAACATTAATTTCATCCTTCAAAATTTTGAAAATTCGAATCTGGTCATCCAACCATATACTTCAACAACAATTTCATGCTTCAAATTTTTAGAAGTTCAGAAATACTTAAAATCAAGAAAAAGAAAAACACAAAATGCATAGATAAATTAAACTAATGGGCGATTAAGTCAGAATATCAATAAGCCTCGTGAGTTTTGCTCAAAGAGGTATACCTCTCACTCATCTAATTGTCTCATCATTCTTGCCCATTATTTATCCGAAACCAAT